GCGCGAGATCGCGCAGGACTTCAAGACCGACCTGCGCTTCCAGAGCTCGGCCGTCATGGCCCTGCAGGAGGCGTGCGAGGCCTACCTGGTGGGGCTCTTCGAGGACACCAACCTGTGCGCCATCCACGCCAAGCGCGTCACCATCATGCCCAAGGACATCCAGCTGGCGCGCCGCATCCGCGGGGAGAGGGCGTAAAGCTTTCCCACTACTGATTCAATTAGCTCAAAGGCTCTTCTAAGAGCCACCCACTTTTTCCCTAAAATTGCTGTAATATAATCAAGATAGAGCCGTCTCGAGGTATTAATGCTTTTTAAGGTTCTTTTTGAGTTGGTTCCCGGTATTTAGGAGAGTTCTTCAAGGTACTAAGGTTGGTGGACCGCGTTTGGTTCCAGGGTTGTGGGCCTTTACCGAGCTTTCAGCTGTGTCCTAAGTCTTTCCCTTTACATCTTCAGTTGGAAGAGCTCATATGCAGAAGTCGCCTGAAAGTAACTTCCGGCTCCGAGGAAACCGTATGTAAGTACCTTCAGGCAGTCTGAGAGGCGCTTTGACCTGGGAAGGGGATGAGCCACTTGAGGTGGCTTGCTAGTGCAGATAATTCTAAGGTTATCTGGGCACAGGTGGAAGGTGAGGTTCTTTGTCCACAAAAGTTTGAACTTGGGTGAAGGTGGCTGTGCATTTGCTATTTACTCCTGGTAAGTTCCCACAAATTTGGGCAATGTCTGAAACCTCAATTTGCTCACTTCCCATCTCTATAGTTAAAAGTGAAAGTTTGGGCTTTCCTATAAAACAACCTTTTACACAAGAATGCAGGCTGATAGTTAACTTCTGAATAATTAGTCCGGATTTCTAATGAGCTTACTGGTAGCAGAGCCTAAGACAGTCATGATGGCTTCTGTGGTCTTGACTCGTGAAGTGTCTACCCACCAGTGGCTTGGACATCATTTGGGAGCTTGCTAGAGCTGGATTGTCAGACCCCACCCAGGCCTAGTCAGAATCTACATTGTACCAAGTTCACCCCAGGAGGTTGGTGGTTGACACTAACAACTAGTTTTTAGAAACCCATTTAAAAAAATATTTTTGGCCTCATCAAGAAAGCAACCTGTGAACTCTTGCAGGAATAAACATTTGTAAACTGCATGTTTATGTCACAGAATTAAATGTTCTCTAAATCAATTGCACATAAGAAGAACCCGGGAAGATAGTTTGATTTAAGAGAGATCAAGTGATCTCAATATTGCGTGCACATTACAGACCATTGGATGTTTTATAAAAAGTATCTTTGCCTGGGGTCCAATCAGTAGCATTTTAATTGTAGTCTGGGGGTGATCCCAGGCAACAGTAATTACTAAAACTCAGGTGTTTCCAAAAGGTCGCTAGGGTCGAGAACAGATGCTACATAAATACCAGTCTTGTGATTAGCTCCTGTGTGATTTGACTACAGGTTTAGCAAGGATTTATCTACAGAATCAGGCTTCCTTGTAGCTTGCTTTCAGAGAGAAAGTCCTGCTCTCCAAGAGAGGATTTTCTGGCTTGCTCGAGGACCGTTAATCGCTGCAATGAATCAAGCAGCATCTGGCTTTTGTAGCAATTTCTGAAGATGGGGCTCATGTGAGTCTATGATGAGAGATGGACCTGCTTTGGGCGATTGACAATGGCAGGTTTTAAGGGATGCTACAAAGAGGAACCTTCTGGGCTTCTTGGCAGACAAACTGTGGAGACCTGCCTATCTTCCCATGGGCACAAAGTCCTGTTTGGGTATTCACCTGGTTTATTTCCATGGCCATTATTTATCAGTTTATCTTTTTTTCCCCCTAGCTATTCATTTTTTTTTAACTTTTTAAATTATGTGACATTTCAGATTATATGAAAGTAGAAATATTAGTTTCATAAACTCTATGTACCCTGCACCCAGCTTCCACATCATCAGTAGCCAAATAGGTTTTATCCATTTCTTGTCCACCCCACTGCCTTGATCATTGTAAAGAAAATGGTATCATTTTCGCTCTCAATATTTTAAAACATGTCCACCATTTAAAAACGTATTTATGATGCCATGACGATTCCCCCCAACAAACATGTCTTAACATGGGTGAATTTAAAAATTGTATTTACTCTACATATATTTGTTGAGAGTTTGCAATGTGCTAGATGCTGTTCTGTGCATTGGGAATATACTCAGAGAACCATCCAGACAGAGTTCTTGGCCCTTGTGGAGTTTACATGTGAATGGAAGAGGGACAGACAATAAATCAGATAGATATGTGTGGTATGTTAAAGGGTAAGAAGGAGAAAAATAAAGCTAGAATAAGGAGTGTCCTCGGAGTTGAGATTTAGGTAAGGCCACTAAGAAGATACTGCAATGGGCGGGGTACAGTTGCAGGAGCTGAAGGCAGAGAAACAACGAGAAGCCGGATCAAGCAGGGGCTTGTAGACGTTAGCTCTGAGATGTGAGGCCTTGAGAGGACTTGAACATGGGAACTTCCGTGTCTGCTTCTCATATTAGCAGGTTCTGCTCTATATTTAGGTAGTCTCCACTGGGCTCCAGTACAAAAATTAAGGCCCAGTTTTCTTCCTGTTTTGTGCTATCCAGACTTTGAAAATAGAAGCTGACCTTTAGCCTTTATAGTTAGAAAAGAGAAAATCTCTGAAAGTTAGTCGTTAAATGCAATTCATATCCCAGTACTTCAGATTCACTAGTTTCTCTCTTTTGTTTTGTTTTTGCCACAGGCAAAATGTTTACCCTCAGGTAACACACTCCATTTATTTGGATTGCAAATTCAGGATTACAAATGCGAGTGTCTTCAGGGTCTAGGCAAGAGGTTCTCGTATCTGTACTTCACGGGGTCAGTCAGCAGCGGTGTTTCTGGCAGAATCTAAGCCCTCCCATGGCCAGCTGCAGGCTCTGGGTAGCAGCTCCGTGTCTGTTATGTCATTTGCCCAAGAGAGGTGTTAACACCTGCTGTGGGAATCGTGTAGGTAAAAGAGCCGTGACTTCATTAGTTCAAAAGCGTAATTTGGTGCCTACATAGATCATTTTATTTAACCCACACAATAACTCTATGGGTTAGAGGGGCGCCTGGGTGGCTCAGCCGTTTAGCGTCTGCCTTCGGCTCAGGTCATGATCCCAGGGTCCTGGGATCGAGCCCTGCATTGGGCTCCCTGCTCCGCGGGAAGCCTGCTTCTCCCTCTCCCGCTCCCCCTGCTTGTGTTCCCTCTCTCTCTCTCTCTGTCAAAAAATAAATAAAAATTAAAAAAAAAATAACTATGGGTTAGAGACCCTTAGTAGCCCAAATACAATGCTGAAGAAACGGAAGCATAGTGAGGTGAACTACTTCACACAGGGGCTCATTTGAATAATTCAATCGTGGATTTTATCTCTGGTGCTAGAGAATGGAGGGCCTTTGTGTGTTACCTGCATAATTTAATTTTACTTTATCCCTCCCTCCCTCCATCCATCCATCCATCCAAAACTTTTTGAGCGCTTACTATGTGCCCTGCATTGTTCTAGGTGTTGGAAATAGAGCAGGGACAACCATGGGGAAAGTTCCCTGTGTAGAGCTCACAAATGTTCTGGTTGTGGGAGACAGGAAATAAACAAAAACAGTATTTTTGTAGGTAAAGAGATTAAAGAGATTAAGAAATCAGGCCAAGAAGATTAAGGACTGCCAGGGAGTGGGAGCAATGGGTGGTGGAGTGTTGTAGTTTTAAATGTGGGGGGGTGGGGTGTGACTTCACCACTTAGATGCCACTGAGCAGAGGTAGGATGCCTGGGAGGGAGACAGGTCTGCACACACCTGTGAGAAGATCATTCCACAGAGAAGCTACAGTGATGACTGAACAGATCCTAAGTTGGGAGCAAACTCAGGGTCATGGCCACAGGTCTGATAACCAACTAGTTAGAACCAGGGTCTTCTGTTTTCTCAAGCTGGAGTTTCTAGGTAAATTCAGTATTGATTCACATGTTTTTAATATTTTTTAAAAGTATGAGTCCAGGTTCCTGAGCATACCCAATTTGGATGGTGATCCAAGAGGAGAGGGCAGGAATAGACGAGTGTTAATCTCATGGAGGACTGCCAGCCTGATTCAAGGACACCAGTAGTTGAGGAAAGCATATTAATTATGTGATGATTTATTTAAAATAAAAAGTAAGAGATCTGAGTTTCCAAATAATCACTGTCATCGTTTTTCAGAAGAAAGAGTACATCAACAGAGTGGTTCTGCTTAATGCCTAAGGTCACCCAGCTGGTAAATGATGAAACAAATTTTAGCCCAGGTAGTGGGCCTCAAATCCCTCCAATTTTAAGCATATTTTATTGCTGTTCTGTAGTTGTGTATATTATTATTTCCTCTATGAAATAATATTTCATGTCCTAGATAACAGAGAGCATGCCTGGTTCACCTTTGTGCTTTGACTGAATGATACATCCAGTTGAGTGAGGTAGGCATTTCAGACATGGAAGGCTTTGAGGAACATATCAGCGTATCTCGAAATGAGAGAACAGAGCTTTTTCGCCCAAAGGGCAAGACTGACTTTTATAGGAGGTTTAGCTCATAAAGAATGTGTTGAGGGCGCCTGGGTGGCTCAGTTGGTTGGGCGACTGCCTTCGGCTCGGGTCATGGTCCTGGAGCCCCGGGATCGAGTCCCGCGTCGGGCTCCCTGCTCGGCGGGGAGTCTGCTCCTCCCTCTCATGCTCTCTGTCTCTCATTCTCTCTGTCTCAAATAAATAAATAAAATCTTTAAAAAAAAAGAATGTGTTGAGAAAATGAGTTGAATGAGTTGAGAAAATCCACCAAGATAAAAGACAGCATAAAAGCCAGAAGTGAGGCAGGTAAGACTTGAACTTGTATACCAGATGGTCAGACTTGGAATGTACATTAAAACCAGTGGCCTGTCCGGGCTCCCTGCTCTGAGGGAAGCCTGCTTCTCCCTCTCCCGCTCCCCCTGCTTGTGTTCCCTCTCTCGCTGTGTCTCTCTCTGTCAAATAAATAAATAAAAATCTTTAAAAAAAACAAAAACAAAAACAAACCAGTGGCCTGTCACTGGATTCCAAACTCAGCCTGACCTTATTCACAGGCTGTGAGTCTGACCGTGGAGGCCTTCCTCCACTTTCCAGTGTGTTTTCTTCATCTCCCACGCCTTACGCTGATTGCACCTAGCTTCACTGCGATTCCCAATAGTGTTGAGCACTGTTCAT